ATTATTAGTTCTGTATTAACTAATAATATAATAAATGATAAGTACTCCTCAAATAGCACTGGCTTTATGGTTCATCTAGTCAAATGTACAGTGGAAATATTTTCAACAGAGCTGATCTTCTCAGAACTCAGTTTAGAAGAATATTTGTCACCAAACAATCGTTATACCTGAAGGTCTCCAAATGAGGAACCAGCACCCACAGTATCATTGCGCATAGCAACTGTGTCTCAATAGTGCTTCAGATAAAAAGATAATCAGACATCTTTCACAATCACATCTTTATCTGTGCGGTCACGGCAGAGTATGTGTCCACTTATCTTTTTCACACCGTATCAGAAGGGCAGTGATGGACATGATCATCATCATACTGGCCTGTGATGAGTGTCGGACATGGAAGTGTCTCTGTATCCCGTCGGTTTCCTAGTGTGGGGATGGGTGTGTGAGAGCAGTGCTGCCCTTGTGGTTGGAGCCTGAGGCTGCAGAAGGAGAGGAGAGCGGAGGAAAGGGGATGTTGGGTGGCGGAAGCTCTGCTGAGCGCTGATAAAAGCTTGTCTAGGTGCTCATGCTAACTGTTGTGGTTTCTGGCATGAGACGGTGGTTGAGGGGAGCTGTGTACAGTATCGCTGTATACTTTAAGTCACCCGGCCTTCTTTATTGCACAATAAAGCACATACCATACAGTGGGGCCAAAAAGTGCATGTAAGCGGGGAAATCTGACATAGTGAATGTCACAAATTTGCTTATTTGGTGTGCAAAAGTGGCCTCGAAATTGTGTGGATTTTTCTGCATTTTACATAACATCCTATATATTAAATTATTGACATGGGTTATAGAAGACATTACTACATTTAGAAACCATTGGGTTTCTAAATTTCTTCTAAAAACAAATCCTGTGAGTTTCCCCCTACCTGTGGGAAGCAGGAAGAATAGGAATAGTTGGATGGGTCAGGGTGGTGTCAAGGAGCTGTTTCACTTCCTTTGGTCAAATCAAAAAGGGTTGAGAGCATCACGATCCCACAACGTGGCAGCGTGTGTAATGAATACAAAAATACAAGCTAACATGTTAAACTGAACAATGAATGACCAGAATAAATAGATGAAAATGACAAAAAGGTTACACACCAGTGAGATATAGAACTGTTCGAGCGACTCGGTGACTGTAGTTGAATTAAAGTTGTATATTTAAAATATACAATATTTGAGGTTTAAGAGAATGCTATTTATTTAATTGAGTGCTGCTAGAGTATATATGTTTTGCATTGGATGAAATTACGCTACTCTTGATTACTCATACACAAATTTTCCACTTTTCCCAGCAGTAGGCTTGGATGAATTTTCCCAATGGACCACAAACCAAAGACACAAATGCTGTCATCATAAGTAGCTTGTGAGGTTTTTCCATGTAATTGAAAACGTGTTCTCATGTTTACTTGTAGCTAATGCTGTCAGCCACCTACGTCCATCATAATGCTGCATTTACATACAAACATATTAATGCGTGGGAATGAAAACACCGCATCGTAAAAGACGAGCATCAACAAGTATCTAGAAAACCACGGGCACACCGTTATTATGCGCTTTGATAAACCGTTTTTGTTCATAACTTACTATTTCTTAGTACTATGTCATCACATCATTGGGCATCTGATATGTTTTTACACTTATTGGCATTGATGGTTCCATGAAGAACCTTTAACATCCATGGAACCGTTCCATTGTACAAAAGGTTCTTTAAAGTGAAAAAATGTATTTAGATTGTTATAATTCTCTTCACACTAAGAAAGAAATGGTTCTTTTAGGAGCTGATCACTGAGAGGTTCTTTGGGGAACCAAAAATCATTCTTCCACTCTCTTAAAAACAGGTTCTTTTTTGGCATCAATGGTTCAGTGAAGAACCTTTAACATCCACGGAACCTTTCCATTGTACATACACTCTTAAAAATAAGAGTTCCAAAAGGAGGTTTTCGCAGAAATGCCATAGAAGAACCATTTTTGGTTCCCCGAAGAACCTTTCAGTCAACAGTTCTTAAAAGAACCAATTTTTTTCTTAGTGTGAAGAACATTTCAATAATCTGAAGAACCATTTTCCACTTTAAGGAACCTTTTGTGGAATGGTAAGATTCCATGGATGTTAAAGGTTCTTCATGGAACTATAGAAGCCAATAAAAAACGTTATTTTTAATAGTGTAAGGTCCTTCAGATTATTAAAATGTTCTTCACACTAAGAAAAAATGATTCTTTTAAGAACAGTTTACTGTAGGGTTCTTTGAGGAACCAAAAATGGTGGTATCACTGCGAAAACTCCCTTTCGGAAGTATTTTAAGATTGTATTATTGATAGGAAATTTGATTTCTCGACCAGAAGTGCTTACACTGGCAGTCATTTGTTTCTAATGATTGTGGACCGTCATGCACCCGAACGCTCTTTAAGTGCTGTATTATTGGGTGTAACGCGATAAGGCATCGGTCAAATAAAATTAAGCACTTCAAATGAACAAGGAAAACACATCCTTTCACCTCACCTGACAATTGTGCCTGAACAATCGTGCTGATTGTCCTGCGTGTGTTTGACTTCGGAGGGACTTCAGCAAAGACTCGAATGGTCACTTGCAATGTAAGACACGCTCTTCCACCCTCCTGCCCCCCCGCTTTCGCTCGCTGTCTGTGGTTGAGCGGCAGATACAGGAACAATGTGGCCTTTCTTACCTGTTGAAGGTGTACATTCCATCCCTACTAAAGCAAGTCAGAAAACAGCCCCTCCTCCGCAAAGCAATCCCAGATTTAACTCCAGGTGCGCCTGCTTGTAGTGTCTGAGTTCAAACCACATCCCTCACAGTGGCTTTCCTTTACATGAACACCTTGGGTCTTTTATGCATGCCATGAAACACATAGTTCTTATTAAGGAAGTATGATTTTTTTTTTTGTGATAGATTTTAGGACATGTGCACACCAAAGCTGTGGATGTGAATCACTTGTCCATAAACCACAAGCTGAAGGGTCCGAGTCTGTATTTGGTTTGGGAAGCCCACAGGATCAGGCGTTTTAAACATATTAAAGTGCAAGTGTTGCATTTAGGAGGGCAAAAAGTGTGGGTGCTTTACAGGAAACCTGCTTGCATCGCCCTTAGACCCATCCCATCTGTGTGAGTGACAGCCAAAAGCACACAGGGTGAGTGGGAGAGAAAGACAGGTTGAGCGCATGCACACTTGTAGTTCAAAACTAAGAGCATGCAGCAAACTCTTTCACTCTTCAGTTCAACACAGGGGTCAGTGGTTACTGCTCTCAGGATATTGTGAATATGATATTGTGAAGACTTTTTCATCTGAGCTTAGTGCTTAAGGACATGCTAATAAGGTACAGTTTGTCATTTCATCTTCTTTGAGGGTTTGTTGTTTCTTCAGTAAATATGGCAGTTGTTGACAGATATTGTACAATTCTGGTTCACTATCGAATCTGAAAGTTTTTGAGTCATATTTCTAGTCATAAAGACTCTTTAAGAACTAAGGACACATAAAAAGAGTGTGTAAACATTTTTTGTTTTTTGCTTTAGAAGCTCAATACAGACGTTGACAATTATTATAAACTAGATTAAAGTGTTAAGTGTAGTATTATACTGTAAATAAATTCTATTTTACTATATTACTTTTTTCCCTTAAATTATTAAATTTATAATGTTATCATTTTTATGAGATGTGAATTTTGTTTAAAAGGTTTCATTTTAAAAAAATATTTACAATTAAAAAATGTTTTTTTTTTTTTTTTTTACTTTTCTTTGGTCTAAACTTTTCTTTATTTTTCATTAGATGCTACCCACTGCTATCACTTTTTGATTATCACAAATATTGCACACATGGTTTAGAGTAATGTTTAAAGAGAGAGAGAGAGAAATGTATTATATAAAGGTAAAAAAATTGTTGAATTTTTATGTTTTCTTGCTCACTGTTGGCTCATGGTTCAGTGGTTAGTACCACAGCTGACGTTGAAACTTGGGAGGCCGGTCCCACGGCCCTGTCCCCTCATCATTTCAGAAACTATAGTCAAAGGAAATCAGCTAGACACCGCGGTAAAGGCAGGATATATGTTTTTTACCCTCAATATGACAAAAGGAAAGACGTGTTTTGTTAAATACTTCACCACACATGAAAGGCCAAACCATTGGATGTTATACAGCATTATTGCTGCCACGTCCTGTCAAACTTGTACCTGACAGTTCAATCAGGCAGTGCATATATATATATAACATATATAACATTTTCTAAATTATACTAAATTTTAACTCTTTTGTAAAATTGTTTGTTTGATTTAAAAAGATACGTTTTTCTCATCGTTACACTTGCAAATAGTAACAGAATAATGACATTTGAAAGCAAAATTATTATTGTAGCTTCAGAGTTTTTACTGTACCAAAATATATGTCCAATTGAACAGGAAACCAACATTAAAGTTTAAAACGGATGTTGTGTATAAAAGGCTGTAATATAGCACCAATAAAAGCAAACCAACAGATGAGGAACAAGTTTAATTTGTTTTACACAATGATATAGCTAAAGGAAATGAAACTGAGTGGTAACCAGCAAATGCATATTAAGCATCAACGTAAACTAATTCGTTTATTTTCGACGTGAGGGAGTATGCTGAGAAACTCTTCCTGACATTCTGATGTCTGTGGTTAGGCCCCTGCCTTCGTTTACTGGAGAACAGGCTGGCTCCCAAAAGATTGTCTTATCAAGGGTTGACATTACTGTTCGCAAAGCCAGCTGATAGGACAAATCCAGCCCAACGAAACTTCATGTCCAGTCACACAATATGACAATTGGAGCACATGGGAAGAGAAACGTGAAACAGTTTCAAACAAGATATATTCTTATGGTAAATGTCCATTTTTTGAAGTTTCAGAGTGACATTATCGTCCGTTTACAGGTGTGTAGAAAATGTTTTTAAAATTGTTAGCGTGCAGTCACAACTGACCTATATTACCCTTTATGTGAACGCTTGCATTGTTTGTGTGTCTTTTTCTCTTTATTTTTAACTCTACAAATGCGTTTGACTTGACATTCGTGCTTGACAAAATACAAGAAGTTTCTGATTTCATTTAATGTTTTAGAGTGATTCACTGCATCAGGTGTCTGTCCTGAATGTGTTCAGCAATCAACAGTGTACTTCCCCTGAGGATCAGCTGTGAGGTCAGTATCTTTATGAGGGAAAAAAAAAATTATAATTCAGCTATGTTTTCCCAGTGAGAAAAGACTAAAAATAAAAACTTTTTTTTTTTTTTTAAATGAATGAATAAATGCTGTAAAATCTATCTGTACCCTGCAAAAATGACTTCTTAATAAGCTGAATTAGTTCTTTCTCTACTGAAAAATATTTAAAAACAAAACTTGTGAGAATGCTTATTTATTTTACAGATATATTTTGTCTTACTGCACTAGCAGATTTTTTACTGGATACTTAAAACACTTGAAAAAATTAATATATAAAATTAAAATATATAAAAATTAAAAAATGAGTATAATGCAAATGAGTATTTTATAAATGTGTATATATATATACACGTGTGTGTATGTGGTTGAAAACAAGTCTTGTGCAGTAAATCTATCTTGTTTCAAGGATTTGAAATAATTATATATTTTAATAAATATTTAAAGACATTTAAATGACAAAAATAATCAACGTTTATCAACGTTAAGGGACTGGCAAACCCTGGAAGACTGCATGGGGAGGTGTCCACCAATGTCACTGGATTCCGGGCACATCGCTCCCCCCAGCATATGGAGATGGACTTAGCCTGGCAGGAACTGATGGCCATCACAGAACTTCAGGTGGGTACACTGGAACAACCCACTAAGCTTCCTCTTTTACATGCACAAATGTCAAAACTCAAGAAAATGTCTGATTATTTTGTGGTCGGATACAGCCAGTCGTTTTAGAGTCTTAATGAAATGGTGGCCTTATAACATTTTTCTAATACTGAATCCTCTGTAAACACACATTACGCTATGATCTGCAACAATGGGCCAATTGAGTGATGCGAGGATAAAGGCAGACATAGAGGGTGAGTGCTGTATATTGCCGACAGACCCCTGCATAGCACAATGACCATCTGTTTCGACATGAAACCTGAGCGCTCCCAAGTAAGACCTGCATAAGCTACGGGTGGCACATTCACCCAGGTGGGCTGGTCCTGTAGTGAGCAGAATACAACCCTCCTCTGCAGCACAAATCAACTGAAAACCTTCATTTTATTAGTGTTTTATTGTAAAAGAGTTTTATCTGAATCACCTCCAAGGTCAAGTTTGAGTGAAACTGGAAGTTCTTGTTATTAAAACATTATTTTTGTCACAGGAGTTTGAGGTACCCAATGAGAATCCCTTTGAAGCTATTCCATACCTGTCCATGGAGCCCATGGTTTCTCAAGGGGGGTTCGGGATGAGTCAACCGCAGTCAGAATCCATTCCAGCCACTTGTGATGCCCATTCTGCTGGTGTTTATGAAAATGCATACCCTGAAATGATGCCACCCTATCAGCGTTTGAACCCACACATGGATATGCACTACAGCCTCCCTGTTAGCCACGGTTCCTCAAGAATGCTTGCGAATACGCAAGCTCTTCATCCACCTCTCATGAGTCTTTTGGAGCACATGAACATGACAACACGTAGTCATGGGATTGTGAAAGACAGCGTTATCAACCTTCACTGCACAGGACAAATCAAACAGGCTTGTGCAGATGATCTTGAGTCAGATTCCGGTTTATCGCTTGGTTCAAGCCCACCGCTTGCCTCTCCTGAGAATGCAGTGCATGGAGTACCTTCGTACTTACCTGCAGATCGTACGATGGGCTACGCTGAAAGCGAAAGTATTGGGGAGCAATGTCGCATGCGGCAGAGTTTGCTTGGGTCTGTTGACTACCACCAGTCCTACAGTTCATACCCTGGAACTTCTTATCCCACAACTGCAAACATGCAACCCATCAACCAGCAGACTTACCAACCAATTGCATCAATGAAGCAACCGGTTTTACCCACAGCTCTGCATGATATACAACTAAATAGCGCAGGTTTAACAAGACTGGGTTCATATCAATCTATGTATCCAAAGCAAAAATCGAGCAGTGTTCCTGTACACCTGAACAGAGATGAGCGGCGAGCCCTCGCTCTCAAAATCCCATTCTCACTGGAAAAGATTGTGAACCTACCAGTGGATGACTTCAGTGAGCTCTTGACCCAGTTCACACTGAGCGACGCTCAGCTGGCACTCGTGAGGGACATTCGCAGACGAGGGAAGAACAAAGTGGCTGCTCAGAACTGCCGCAAGCGGAAGTTGGAGAACATTGTGCATTTAGAAAACGAGTTGGGACAGCTTAGAGCCCAAAGAGAACATTTAAGCAGAGAGAGACTGGAGTTTCAGCAAAACCTAGCCATTATCAAATGTCGGCTCTCAGATCTTTACACCCAAGTGTTTTCACAGCTTCGTGATGAGGAGGGACACCTTTATTCAGTTGATGAGTATTCACTACAACAAACTAATGATGGCAACATTTACTTGGTGCCACGGAACACAGCCCTGGAGGGTGAATGAACAAATTTTTTTTTTTTTAAGTCACCCATAGATGGACAACTAAATTCATGAGGTTCCTACACTTAATGACCAATGAATTAATTACTTCAAATAAATCATGAATGGATAAAGACTTAAAATAAAATCACACACGAATTTAGAACCAAAGTAAGTTTAGGCCAGTATAACTACAGAAATTGCAAAGAGCTTTTATGATTAAGAAAACACTTACAAACTTGTGTTAGACTACGCGGCTATTTTTTTCGGGGGGGGGGCGGCCAGGGGCCCTAAACACTTTTGTACATTAAAACATTGGTCTAAAACAGAATCATGTCCAACATACGAACACATGCTTTCAGTAAATGAGTGATACACAAGACACGGATCACATCATTTGTAGCATTAAAATTTTTATTGGTAAAAAAGGTAAAAAAAATAAAATCTCTTCAGCTGCATTTTGGTCCTAGGGAAAAAAAAAAAAAAAAAAAGTAAATTTGGAATATTGTAAACAAGATATTGCACTACAATAGCAAGTACCTTTATCATTTCACCAGTTTAGAAAGACAAATGCCTTTTCATTTCAAGAGACGATTTTCACTTGTCAGATCCTGAAAAAGCAAGCGTAACATGGTCAGCACATTAAATATACAACATGAAAAACCAGTGGGCATGCATTAAAAAGTGTATAAGTTTTACAAAATCTTGTGCACCAAACTATGCTGACTGCAGTTACTTCCCCTGTAACATACACAACACTGAATGGGAAGTTGACATTAACTGTACAGCTTCTGCTAATAAAATTGTTTTACAATTACCAGCGGTAGTTGAGAAGTCTGTTCTTACCTACAGGAGTTATAAAAGCGCTGCCTGCTAGTCTTTGAGTGGCGCCCTGTACTCCCTGCTTCTTCACAGGGCGATGATCTTGCTACTCCTTTCTCAGCCTGCTCCCATGGCTAGACTGATATGCAGCCACACTACTCTAAGCATTTGCATTAAACAGCCTATGCTTTTTGAACCAATTTTGACCATTTACCTCATGTTCCCTTAAGAGAACAGGTTTCCATTTTTTAAAGAGCCAGATGACAGTCTTGAGTTTACTTTCTACTAGAAGGGCTCAAAGAAGCTCTCCATCAAGTTAAAGTGTACTACACTAAAACCCCCAGAAAACAAATGACTAAAACGCACATCTTTTTAAAAAAAACAAAAAAGTATGTTTTATTTCACCTTGATTGGTTACATAATCAAAACCATGAAGACTGAAAGTAATTCTACATAAAACCTCATTGGAATGCTTTTCCCATAGACAATATAAAATAAGTCTGCATGACAAATTCATGATGTCCCACACATGATAGCGCTACTGTACACTTCTTCTGGTGGCAGCTGTAAATCTGCCAAACCTGTTTGGCTGAGCAGATCTAGGGATGTAAACCTGCATCTGCCCTGTCACTTCTCTCGCTCTCCTCTCCTAAAGCACTCAGTCCTGTTGAACAATATGAACAACAAATGTTAAGCTGAACACTACCTGAGGTTTGTTTCTACACCAGATATACAGCAAGGTTACAGTATAGCAATGAGCATTCAATCCAAGACTAACATATTGGGTTTGTTAATCTGTAAACCAAGCCATCTGAAAATCTATTTAAAATTAGACAAAAGAATTTGAAACCAACCTTTCTGAGCTTAAAACCGTCTACCACCAGAGCCGCCTCCATATCCACCACCAGATCCACCACCATAGCCACCTAAAACAGATGGCATGTCATTTAGGATTCAAGTTGTTTATACAAGACGACTTAAACCAAAAGAGAAATGGAAAAGGCTATTATGAACAACTCACCACTATATGGGCCACTGTTTCTTCCTCCGCCACCTCCAAAGTTCCCTTTCATGGGACCATAGTTGGACTGCTGGTTGTTATAGTTGCCAAAGTCATAGTTACCACCTCCACCACCGCCACTACCACCTCCAAAGTTGCCTATTCATAGTTAAACCACATACACCTGGTTACTGCTGAAATCAAGTTATTTGTATGGAAATTAATTCAGACTGGCATCTACTCACCACCTCCAAAGTTTCCATTGCCATTGTTGTAATTGTCATTATAGCCACCACCGCTGTTGCTGCCACCGCCGCCACCATAACCACCGCCCTGGTTGCCATAACCCTGTCCTCCTCCGCCACCACTACCACCTCCATATCCACGATTTCCACCATAGTTACCAGGACTGCCACCATAACCACCTGGAGAAAGCAAAAGGAACAAGTTACTTAACATTAACAATCAGAACATTTTACCAAATTGTACTTTCAAAGAACTAAGAAACCACTGTATACCATCTCCGCTGCCAAATCCATTGTTGTAGCAGTCGCCTCCATAACCACCGCCACCTCCACCACTTCTGCCTCCTGAAAAGGATTGTGAAAAGTGCTTTAAGTCAACACGAAAACTTAAATACACCATTCGAAACACTTCAACGTCTACTTAGGCATGTACCTCTTCCAAAATATCCATCGCGGTTGCCGCCTCCACTCCCTCCAAAGTCATTGTTGTAGCCGCCATTGTTGCCATATCTGTTGAAGTTTCCACCTCCTCCTCCACCACCACCACCACCACGGCCTACAGAGCAAGCACATTAAAACAGAGGGGGAGGGAAAAAGAAACCCTTGATCAACTTACCTCTCATGCTCATGCCAGTGTTTTGCATCTCTTGTTTAGACAGAGCTTTTCTGACTTCACAGTTGTGCCCATTCACTGTGTGGTATTTCTGAACTAAGGGGAAGATGCGTGTTAATTTAAATTAAAAAGACCCACAATATTAAGACATTACAAGTGACACTTGAATGATAGCACTTACTGACGATACGATCAACAGAGTCATGGTCATCAAACGTAACAAAGGCAAAGCCTCTTTTGTTTCCGGTCTTGTGGTCAACCATAATCTCAATGGCCTCAAGTTTGCCAAACTCTGTGAAGTAATCACGAAGATGGTTCTCCTCAGTGTCATCCTTAATGCCACCCACAAAGATCTTCTTCACAGTTGTGTGAGCAAATGGCTTGTTGGAGTCCTGAAATCGATACATGCAATTAGGCAACTGCACTCATACACATCTTTAGAAAAGTCTTTGCATTACAAAAGCTTGGGGTGCTAAACCTCACCTCTCGAGACACAGCTCGCTTGGGCTCCACGAGCCTACCGTCAACCTTGTGGGGACGTGCATCCATAGCAGCATCGACTTCATCCACACCGCAATAAGTGACAAACCCAAAGCCCCTGGAGCGTTTGGTGTTTGGATCTTTCATCACCTACAGCAGCACATAAACAAGCATAACAAGGGTTAAAACACCTAGTGGTCATCACCATACAATTAAAACACAATACTTAGTGTAAGATTATGCGAAGACACGATCCATATTGTTTAACCCTGTAGATAAGCAAGACATAAGGAACTTACCACACAATCCGTTAAGGCGCCCCATTGTTCAAAATGCGCCCGCAAACTATCGTCTGTGGTTTCAAAGCTGAGCCCTCCAATGAAGAGCTTCCGCAGTTGCTCTGGTTCACGTGGTTGGCCCTGAAAATATCAACCCGTAATAACTTAGTACCATTGAAACCAAGTACGTCGTGTGTATTATTCTGCAGCGGATATTAAACTAACAATTTATTCATGCGCGAAGCGTCACGAAACCTTGAGGTAACAGACTATCTGGGGGGAGGTGAACAAACACCTCCGCCATGTTGGTGTCGGACAATGCGGCCCATTTATAAACGGTAGCTTTGTTTCAGTGAAACAATCGAGATAATAAATTGATGCAAACCATCACAGTTATGGCCAATGAATAATTAAAACAAAGAAACTACGATTTTTGAGAACACGACCTTCAATGCAAGCACGCGGCCTGTGTGCATAGTACAAGAGTTAAAATGGCGGCTGAACGCGCTATTTGCATTAACAAAGAGCCACGAAGGAGATCCGAGTTAAATAGGAAACCGTTCAGAACATTAAAACTACGTAGCTTTTATCAAACAAAACTGAATACATTTTTAAAAACGACCTACCTCTTTGGACATCCTACCGACTATTTCTGACTGTACTGTGCTGCGCCACACGCTTATCGGTGAGACACACACGGAGGACTGGGGGAGATAATATTAATAGCTCGGGTAAATACAGTCCCCGCCTACTGCAGACGATGATTGGTTTACACTTCCCGCTAACGCTTTTGTTGTGCGTTTTGAGGATACCTGATTGGTTGACACTCAAGTCAATCCCTGGAACAGAGGTTAGTACTTTTACACATCTTTCTCATACAATTAGAAAAACTTTTTTTTATTAAAGCTATAAAAAAAATACGTTATATTAATCATTTATTATAAGTTATGATTTGATTCATATAGCTTCGATATCACGTTCAACCCTTATGCAAAGGCACTCAATCATACCTTTCTTCGAAAATATGTATTTTTCTAAAAAGGTGTGATTAAATGTAGATATTTTTAAAATATCAGAAACATCCAGCAAAGTCTGTGGTTTAAGGTGCCGTGTGATGCGTGAGGCCGTTTTTGGCGCGAGAGCGGCTCGCTCAGGCGCACGCTGATTGGCTGGACGCGCCACTGGACGGATGCGTGTGCGAGAGGTAGCAAACTCCTGTGTGCAGGGAAAAAGCCGCCGCCGCATTATCCAACACGAATAAGAAAACATCGAAAAATATCTCAGTAAGTATACAGTAATCATCCACATTAACGTCAGAATATGTTATTGTAGATTCCCCTTGCACTGGGAATGATTTAATCCGTCAGCGCTACGCTTTAACATGATAGGATCAGGTGAAATCTGTTCGGCTCGGCCCGCGCTGTTGCTAAGCAAAGCCTCAACTGCGTTAGCGCGCACGACGATAGTATTTAAATAAATGCGAAAAAGCGCACAAATGCTTTGCTTGCAGCGGTCAGACGCAGAGAACCGACGAAAGAAGTAGCGCATTTATGCTAATTAAGCTAAATTAGTCTGCTATAATGTGCGCCTGGATATCTGTGAGCCTTGTTTATTGTTTTTGCAGGCATTGGCTAGTTGAGCTTGCGTTATACGCATATAGCACAACACCAGCAAACGCGTGAATTTATTTTTCTAACCTCTTGCTTTCTCTCATTGTTTTTGTTCTGTTGCTATTTCAGAATGAGCTCATAGCGAGGCAAGCAGTAGCAATCAATGGGACTAACGTTACTGTAGCTAAATGTTAGCAGCGCAGCTAGCACTGCATTTAAATCCGTTTACGTTGTGAATTATGTTTTGTATTTTGGAATAAATGCATTGGGAGTTAGATCGCATATGGCCTGCGATGTGAAAGTATGAAAATGAGAGTCGTGCAGGGCTGTTCAATGTTTTCACATTGTTTGGCATTGCTCGCTAAGATCCTTCATGACATTAAGATAAGAACACATGGCTGGTTTATCACATTTCCAGTGCGTGGTTGATTAAATATGTATCTTAGTACATGAATATAGTTATTGCATCCTGATATAACCGCTTGATTTGAATGTAATATATTCAGACTGCATGCATTGTTGTTTCTTTAGCTTTGATAACAGAATGTGCACAATGTTTACTAACAAGTAAGCATCCTTTGGAGTTTATTTATTTTTCTTATTATTATTATTATGCATATAGGCTTTAAAATAACTTTGCAGTTCCTCAAATCAAAGACATGCTGATCTTTTGTGTGTCTATTTGTTAGTCCTCTAGAATTATTTGTTAGAGCAGTGTATGCGTCTGCATGCCTTATGCATGTTTATTGATATACATTTTGGGTATATTTAAGTGCAGTAATGTTTAAATTAATTGTATTTGTTTAGGGGAGCTCTGAATGCTGTAATCTCTGCACTTTAAGAGGTCACGTCCTCCAATATAATACAGTAGGTGAGTGTCGAAAAATAAATATTGACTTTTGTCATTGCAGTTAAGGTAAGCAAGGTTTAACCTTAAGTCGTAAGATTTTGCTCATACTGTCCAGCCTTTGTTGTTATCATGTTAAGAGTAACTTTAGTTCATGTTATGGTTATTTTTGCTGGAAATAGAATTTTCACAGTATAGACAACAGTCCATATTAATGCCATATAATATAGGTAATACTTATACTTGTGAAGTTTCATGATTTTCAGTCTCACAGCAGAAACTAATGCTAACTAATAATTACGAAGTAAACATTGTGCCTTGTCTTCAGGCAATCATTAAAATGACAAAAAAAAAACAGTGAGTAATAAAATATAATTGAAGAGACAAATTACAAGTAAAGACAATAGAATGAATGAACTCTTTTTTTTCTACACTCAGTTCTATCATATTGTAAGTAGAAATGATCGAATCTAAAATAAACCACTAGCATAGGCTTCACTGTATGAGTTAAGATGTAGTACATTAATACTTACATTAAAAAGTATGTAGCCCAAAGCTATGATATTTTCTTGTCGATATTATTGTTTGATTAATATTAATTACATAACTGACAGCAATAGATTTATTTAGACGTTTACACTGCAAGACCTAATGCACAGATCTATTCTGACGTCCGATGTTTGTTTATATTTAAGATGTATTTGAAATGAATATGCATCTGATCAGTCAAATACACTCCTTGCTGAGTTTATTACTCTTTTTGTATTTTATATGGTAAATGGACTCCAATTACCCAGCCCTATGTAGAACTTTAATAAAAAAAATTTCCCCCCCAGTGGGAACACTTTCCTCCCCAGACCAGGGAGCCTCACAGGTCACATTTGCTCATAGGAAAGACATTCAGAATCAGCCATGGGAAAGAAGAACCAGAACCGTGAAGATGATGAGGCTGCTTCCTCAGAAGAGGAAGAGTATGTAGTGGAGAAGGTCTTGGACAGGCGAGTTGTGAAGGGCCGTGTGGAATATTTCCTGAAGTGGAAAGGCTTTTCAGAGTAAGTCTTCATTGTACTTCATAATAAACTAATAGTGTCTAAGCAGTAGTATAGACAATTTCAACTCAAGAAGAGGTGGATGTGTGTTACTGCATGTAAAATCTTAAAATGCATGACTATGAAAAACATCAGAAGTTTTACATTGAGATGATGTGGACAAGTCTAAATTTTCAAGTGATTTAAGGTTAACTAGTTTGAAGAACCCTCACAGTTTTGTCATAGTATGTAGACATCCTGAAGGCATATCTATGATGTGAGGAAATCCAGTGGCTTTAATTTATCATGCATGAGTCATGCATTGTTTTGCAGAAAACACAACACATGGGAACCAGAGAAGAACCTGGACTGTCCAGAGCTTATCTCAGAGTTCATGAAGACCTATAAAAAGGGAAGCAGTGGAAGCACACCCAGCAGCAAGCCCTCCAGCACAGGCTCTTCTTCGGCCCGTCCCAAAGACAGTAGCAGCAGCACCAGCAAGAGGAAAAACTCAGAGGAAGAGAACGGGAGTGGCAGCAAACCCAAAAAGAAAAAGGAGGTAAGAGCTTAACAAGAAAAGGTCTGGGCCTGGGCGATAAAGCGGTATCGATATTTATCGACGATACACCGTAATCTTTAACGATAGAAAAAATGTTCGATATAGCGCATGATAGTTTTTCGCTTATTTCATTTAAAGGCACATTATTAGTGACAAGCAGATATCCAACAGAACACACAAACACATGCTGAAATGAGTGCCGTGCCTGCCTGAGATTAGGAGACTGTGAATAAAAAAAAAAGGAATATTAGTTGAATTTAAAATAAAAATTCGCATTCGAATGCAAAAACGGTGTATTTGAATTTTAGGTGTGTCAGGGAGCCTTATCAGTGGCGCACAAGATGCGGTGATGATGATGTAAATGTCGTTTTCCATTCAAAATATTAGAGAAATATAGAAGCTCAAAGCGGAGAAGATATCTTGTGCACCTCTTATAAGGCTCCTTGACGCACACCTAAAATTCAGATACACCGTTTTTGTATTATAATGCAAATTTTTATTTTAAATTCAACTAATATTCCTTTTTTTATTCAGTCTCCTCATCTCAGGCAGGCACGGCACTCATTTCAGTATGTGTTTGTGTGTTCTGTTGGATGTCTGTTTGTCACTCATAACACATGCCTTTAAATAAAAAAAACGTGAAACTATCGTGCGCTATATCGAACATTTTTTCTATCGTTATCGATGAGGGTGTACTGTCGATAAATATCGATACCGTTTTATCACCCAGGCCTGGTTGAAATTCTCTCTAAAATTTGTTTCTTAATTCATTCAAAAACGAAAATTTACTTAAAATGTACTCACCCTCAGGCTATCCAAGATGTTGATGAGTTTGTCTTTTCTTGGAGAGAGATTCTTGAAGATATTTAGCATTAGGGCTGCACGATATATCAAAATTATCGAAATATCGCAAATGTAAATATCGCAATATGCATATCGCAATGGCGTGCGATATCTGAATCATTTTAATAATAGGCTACTTAAATCAAAACGTTGCAAAAGGTCAAAGTTTTAGTTGACACATTTAGCAGAGAATAGCTTGACGTTACAAAGAGTTAAGTGCAATAAGTTGCAGAAAACAACTCTTTGCCGTCTCGTCTTGCTGTCTGACTCGCACCTGAAGCGCGTGCACCAGCCGCATCTCACACAGCGTATCTGATTTGTGACATTACTTTTTACGTACTGCTAAAACACTGCTGATCACTTTCTGAAGTTGTAGTGATTCTTTCTTTTCCAAGAAAGAATGTGAAACAAATTGGTTATATAATTTTCATTGTTAAATATTTTATAATATAATTTAAATTGATTTTTCACACTTCAAGCAATATTGTATCGAATATCGCATTTTTAACAAGGTATCGCATATCGCTTTTTTTTCCAATATCGCACAGCCCTATTTAGCATTACATCACTTGCTCACCAATGGATCCTCTGCAGTAGATGTGTTCCGTCAGAATTATTTTGCATTGTGAACTCGTACAAAAGCAGAGGTTTACAGTTAAACGCCTTTATGATGGATTGGTTTTTGATAAACATCTTATGTTTTTATTAGCTGTTTGGACTTCACTGCAGAGGGTCCATTGGTTGACCAAGTGATGTAATGCTTTTCAGTAAATGTTCATTTTTGGGTGAACTATTCCTTTAAGCGTTATGTTGTGGTGGCCAGTGTATTTAATGTGATGTTGTAAAAATAAAACATCTATTTTAAGTAAATAAGTATTTTTAATTGTTGTCTTTGTTCTTTCTAGGATGAGATCCTTGTAGCAAGAGGGTTTGAGCGAGGCCTGGAGCCTGAGAAGATTATTGGAGCAACAGACTCCTGTGGAGACCTTATGTTCCTTATGAAGTGGTGAGTACAGCAGCTCTTTACATATCGGGAGCAATTTATTTGAATGAAACTCCTTATTAGAGCTTAGAAACACATTGGAACCAAAGCCACAAGTCTGACCATATTCTAGTTAGAATAATAGTGAGTGACATTGAAATTTGATTTAAATTCCATCACAAGTGGTCACAGGAGATGCCTGTTGATACCAGGAGTAAACAGGGAAGTGCCACAACTGACCAGTTGTGATTGGATCACCCGAGATGGATGTTAGGACAATAGTGTCAATGGCCACATTTACATCTTGTATTATGTCTGAAATTATGCAAACTGCCCCATTTTTGTTTCTTTGTCCTACCCTGTTGAGAGACTGAAAAACCATTATTCTTTTGTCACCGTTCTACACCTATTTACACCTGTACATTTGAAACCCGTCATTGTAGTCTCCACTCTGCATTCATTTATATTTGCTTTACAGTTTCTGCATCTCTAATCTTGTGTGTGTGTTTGTGTTTTAATTCAAATATAATTGCAGTTCCTGACTGGTACACAAACTGTACAGGCTATATTTAGCTTAACATACATAAAAAGTGTTCACTTTGAAAGACTACGTATATTACAAACACTGAGTCCATAAACATGTTCCTTTTATGTGTGCATTTTCTTCATAGAATGGGGCAGAAAACGCAGTGTTTATTTCAGGTGCAGCCTTTTGCATAGTATAGCATGTTAAGCACTATACACCATATATAATCCTAATTGTCTATTGCCTAAATGTTCCGTTGGTCAAATGTTATTAGTTTTACACTGGCGTAATACAATAAAATAAATAAATGTTTTGGTGTTCACAGATTTTACAAATTTAGACATTACTATTGCTGTAACGTTTTTTTGAATATAAAGCTGCAATCAAATATGCGTAGCTTCTTAGTGTTGAATACATTTTTCAGGGTTTCCACTGGTCCTTAAAAAGTCTTTTTTTTGTTTGATCAAACTTAAGGCCATAACTGGTATAACAAAAGTATTGATTATAATATTTAGAGGCTTTAAATTTGCAGATGGAGAAATGGGTCACTATACGACCCAATGTGATTATTAAACTTCATAAGGCTTTGACTTAAATTGCTGCACATTCATAGTCAAAACTCAGAGCTGTTATGCGTTCTACAGGCTGGTAGTTTCCGAGTAGTTCACAATCAATGGATACCACACATTGATGCTAAGAGAACACTTATACTGTTGATGAATTACATTATTGTATTAGCAAGGTCTGATTTTTTTCTATGTATTGGTACATTAGTACATAAACTTTAATAACATTTCAAAACAGATGTATATATAAAAAAAAATGTCTTGATTATTTTAATCTGGCAGTTACACTCTTTTGCAGTTGAATGTAAGCCCCAGTCCGTTTAATAAGTAAGAGTAAAAGAATCCGGATTACATGATTTATTTTGAGATTATACGTGTACATTTCTACAGTGTTCATTTTATTTGTGCAGATCTCAATAGGTGTTGTAAGTATTACATCTGATTTTAAAAACTCTGTAGAAAGTAACCATGATTTTTATGATGGTACAATATGCAAATGTAAACAAAATCAATGCCTATTGTATTAGCAGTTTGAACTGCTGTAGTATCTGGAGGTTAGCCAATCATGAGGTCTTTTACATCTAGAGATCGGTTTAATTCAGTTTAAGCTTTAAGAAGCTTTAACTAACAAATTAAGTGTATTTGAGGATTTTAATGTCTCACAGTTTCAATTAGAACTGGAGCTAATGCTGATACATAACATTGTGCAGTTGTCCACTTAATGCAAATTTGTCTTTCCTTTGTTGCTGATGTCCCACCACAGGAAAGACTCTGATGAGGCAGACCTTGTGCTTGCAAAGGAAGCCAATCACAAGTGCCCACAGATCGTCATTGCCTTCTACGAGGAGCGTCTGACCTGGCACGAAGACAGCGACAAGAAGGAAAAGAGTGTCACGCCGGTTTAAAGGGCAGAGGGGGGAGGAAAGACGCTGAGTCCTCCAAACCTTGTGCCCTTTGTCACACTGGTGACACTCTCATAGCCAACTTTAACGGACCATTTAGTAAAAAAAAAAAAAACGGCCACCGAGCAATGGAGGTTACTGCCCACCATGACAACATCCGTCCACCCTTCATGAAAAAGCATCTCTCACCAGACAAACCGAAAGGCCATGGCGAACAGCGGCTGCAGCAGAGCGGTGCAATGTGATCTCTCTTCTCTTACTCTCTCTGATCTTCCTTCTATTTTGTCATAATTTGTGTATTTGTGCTCCTACAACTATGTTCTTATGATGTGTTTGTGTGCTATTGTAGATGTGAAATGATGAAAACCCGTACATGTCAAACTTTTAACTTTTATTCACACAGTTGATTTTGTAGTGGTGCTGGACATGACTGAAAATATCAGTTGTGTTTTGCGTTTAACATCTATAACGCTGGATAAAGACTGTTGGTTCTATTTCAAGCTGTCACCCTCTCTTCTGATTTCTGCTTTGTTTTTTCAATCAGGTAGAATTAATTTTGCTGTATTACAATTTTTGACTGTAATAATCTCTCATGTGGGCCAAAATTCTGTGATTTTTGTTTTTGTTTTTTTGGTTTCTGATTGTCAGTAAAGCCACATAAAGGAACTATACCGTATAATCACTTTCCCCATATTAAAATTAGAACATTGACACCCATTTTTTTTCCCTTTCTCCCTCTAATGTCTTTGCAAAACTCTACTACTTTCAGAATTGGCCCTTTTTAACCACTCTTACCTTTGAACTTATCACTGTTGCTTGCAGGAGGGCAGACAATCTTCATCATGCGAGTGTGTAATGGGACATTTTTATCTGTTTCTACACTTTTTCCATGATATTCATTTTGCTCCATAAGTTTAACTGATATACTCCCTCTTGTGGCTGATTTGGTGAACACATTCCCTGTTTGACCTCATGAACTCAGAGCTGTTCTCATTCACGTGGTAGTTTAAGCATATGTCGGGTTCTTACTACTTTTTTAACCTAGAGTTGACTCAATAAAATTGTGTTTATCAAGGTTACATGCCTATACTAGAGTTTTGTGCTTTTTTGTGTGCTTTGCAAAGCCACTGAACAAAAGCTATTCCTTCGAGATCATTTACAACAGGAAGTGCTTGTTTTATTTTAAATGTATGGATGCAGTCCACTCACAGCAGTAGAATAGGGAGAAAGGCTTAGTTTGAGTTGTTTGTAATGAGGGGGAGTTTGTAAACCCGGTTGAACATGATGTGTAGCTACTTTTTTCTTTTTGGTTTGTTTTTTGTTATATTACAAAAGAGGATGGTCCTTTTGTAATGATCATGATCATTTATACACATGACTCAGTTCTAGCAGTTGTTTTTACAATGTGCAACAATAGTTGTCTTTTGCTATGTTAAATGCATAGCCTGTCCTGTACCATATTGTAGTAAATCTAGTTTCAACACTAACAGTTGAACGTTTCTGGAAACCCTTAACCCTGGCTTTTTTTTTTTTTTACAAAATAAATTTCATTGTAGTGCTGAGATTATGAAGTTTCACTCTATGCAATGTTTGTGAAAAAAACTCATTTTAAAACGAGTCCAGTTGTCATTGCAGTGCAGTATTAAGTTTGGCCTGAAAAGCACTGCTGATATTCACCAGCAGATGTCATAATGGAGCAAGTCTTGCCTGTTTGTTTCTACTGCTCAAAAAATATACACCTTAAAAGCTGCATAGGGATTCTGAAGTAATACAGTGAAGAAGAAGAAAAGGATTCTTGGGCTTATTTGTGAATTTTATACTAAATAAAAGTAAAATATTTGGCCTATAAATGCATTATATTCACTGATATTTAAGAGCTCATATATCAACTTATTTCTCTAATTTGACCTAGTCTTGATGCAGTTTAAAGGCACAATATGTAAGATTTTTTTAATTAAAATATCCAAAAACCACTAGAACAGTGTTATATATTTTGCTGACTTGTGTACTTACATTATCCCAAATGTTTCGAAGAATGTTTAAATCCAGAGAAATAAGCAATTTTAACTAGTGACACGGACCGTGTCCATAGTGTCATTGTGTCGCCTGCCAATGACGTCATA